TTGTTTTATAGAGGACCACGCCAACTCTATAGGGTTTAATTCGCAATGATACGGTGGAAGCCTAAGTACAATTATATTGTTTTTTTTTTGCCAATTCATCAATAACGTACTTGTTACAATCCACTCGAAATTCTTGTGCCTCTTCCAAGAGTCGATCTTTTACCATTCGTTGGTCTATTATTTTCCCTCTAATCGTCAACCATTGAATAATCATTTCCTTTTTCTACGAAAGTTGGGGAAATGTTTCTTTTTTAACCGAATGGTACGGCGCATTATCCATAACAACTACGGCATTTTCTTTTAGTAGTGGTGAAATGCTACTAAACCAGTCATAAAATGAGTTGACGTTCATTTCGTCGTGGTAATCACTTGTATTTTTTTTTAGATTCAAAAACCAAGAGACCACCTGCGACGAAACCATAAGAGGATCCTATATAGACAACAATTAATCGTTTGCCTTTACCAGACGGATTTTTTTGTCCAGTAGTTAACCCACTTAAATATACGTCTTGATGTGATTTTATTGTTTTATCGACCCACGATTTTGAAGACGTTTCCCCAGCGTTTATCCAAGTCTCATCAAGGTAGTAAATTAGATGACCTTTGCTGCAATAAAATTTAATTTTTTCCAAATACCTTTGTCGCCAGCAGACTAAATCGCTTCGTTTAGTCAGTGCACTGTTACGAGTTTTTTTGTTATAAACGAAACTTAAATCTTTTAAAACTTTACGTAAAGATGTGTATTTCAAACTTGGTAAACTAAGATCATCATTGACGGAAGTAAGAATTTTTTGCAAAGTTAGTATTTCTTTTCGAAACCAGAAACTATGAATTTTTTGCCGAATAGCATTTTTGTCAAACTCGTCAATTTTTTGGGTAATTGTTAGTCTTATTTTATTTTTATTAGGCGAAGAAATGATACCTTTTTTTTATAATCCGATATCGTTGTTGTGATCGTACGTTGTCCAATACCAGTATAATGTGAAATGAATTTGATGATGTCATAATACTTTGGTCTTTGCTCAACTGGCAGATTGGCTCCCTCCATCTTTTTAATTTTGTACATATTTACAATAATTTCTTTTTTTTGGCTACCAAAAAACTACAAAAAATTATGATATAATGTGTTGTATAATACGATAATACAAATACATAATAATATATTGTGATAATTAATTATATTAAATTGTGCTTACCTTTCCACATGGATTTTTTTTTATTGGTGAAGTACCAGCAGGATTTACAGCTTCCATTTAAAAAAATATTGATACAGTTAAAAAAAAAATGTAGTATGATAGATTAAATCGTCAATAAATCGTACACTGTTTATTAACAAAATAAGTAATAACGTGGTTATCATAAGGTGGGGGATACTGTTTACGAGTCACGACGACACGACGCGCGACGGTCGACGATGTAAGCCGATCATCCGACGATGGGAGTCACGTTGGTAGGAGATGTGCAAACTACGACGAGTTTTGGTCGCCGCCGACTTGCGCTCCTCGGCGCTACGGGTGAACTGAAGCGATCGCTTCATATAATAAAGGGGTAGGTGATTTTATTTGTATGTGTTTTTGTTTTACATTTCATAATACCTGTACTAAATAATTAAATAAATAACTTAAGTGATTAGTTATTAGAGGTAGACAATATCCTCAGTGGTGGGTGGGTGAGTGTGTAAATATTTTGATTTGCTTCACTTAAATTTATATAACTCGGCGCCACTGATTGCCTTACATCAAGGTTTTATATCTAGGGGTTTGAAGTCTTGATCTCCTTGACTAAAGGTTAGGTATTGCCTCCCTTGCCAAAAAAACTTGCGCAGTACGTATGCTTATGATTTATGAATAGGATAATGACAAAAAAAAATGTAGGTAAATTTTAAATTATTTACGTAGTAAAAGACGAAAATATCAATGTTTTACAATATTACACTAAATAACTTACATAACCAACAGGGCGCGCCATGCATTTGCTATATGTTTTTGTTAGCTGCTGTATAGACATCGCCGAGTAATGGGAACGGAACTATGGTGGAAGAAAATCCGGCTATATAGCATCGTTCACGATCGTCAGTATCGATGCGTGGATTAGGGTTGTTCTCTCCTGGGCTGAACTATACGTCAATGCGTGTCAGAACCTCCGTCACAAACGGAACCTCAAGCGGGCAACTCTGCTCAGCCGCGAGTGTCGGTCATTCACCGCACCACCGCTTCCGACGTTGCTGTGGTCGATGGGCTACAGTAGTAGGTCAGCGACAAATTATCGCGTTAATCGCACGAAAAAAACTAATATTTGCAGCCATTTAAAAAAAAAAATAATAATAATAAACTTGATGAGTTATCGACCTAGTCGGTGACTTTAAGTTTAGCTGAAAATTAAAACTCACTGTATATATTTTAAGACAAATGAATCGATACATTTTCGTGTTCAACGGTTTAAGACTGAAAACGTACTTAAAGAATCTTAGCTCTTATAGTCAGGAATACCTGGAATCGAAAGAAATATTAGGTGAGAGTAAATTCTTCAATATTAAAGGAAGCCAGTAATCACGTGCAGTGAACTATATAGGACCTTTAAAAGGACAATACTACTGACAGTTCAGGTGTGAGTGAATACTTAGGTTTTTAATAATGGACTTAATAATAACTAGTCATTCTTGTATATAATGATAAATGTTTGACCGACAATGGTCAACAGGTTTTGTTTAAATTTTTGGCTACACATGAATTGCGTCCCGATATATGTATATACAAATCGATAAGAAGGTACACAAATTGCGTCTGGCTTTATCTAAATGACTACACAAGTTGTGTCCGACTTAACCCATACGACTATTTTATAATTATATTTTTTCCCAGTTCTATTTCAAATTGTAAAGTAACTTTTAAACAGATTATACTTTTAGTTTGTATACGAGAAAGAAATATGTTTTTACGTCTTGTAATTTATTAAATATTAATTTAATTTACATATACCTACCTACTTCTATATGCAAAAAAAAAACGACAAAAAAAACCATATTTTTAATCTACCGATAGTTTTAAGTCTGTAGGAAAATTATGTTTTTACGCTGGAACGCAATTTATGAGGAAAATGGATTTCGGGACACAATTCGTGTGCACTGAAATTTTTGTGTTCGCGGATGTGATGTTTGCCATATGGGTTATTAAGTACTTAGTACTTACCTATTATTAATATATGATTATTGGTTTATGGGTTTTGTATACATTATTTGTGTTTGCAACTTTTAACATGCATTTCTCTGGGTAAAACACGATTGCGTACGTTTGTCCTTTTTGACAAAACGATTGTATATATTTTTTGTAGATGCAGGTTATCTTTAAATCAAAAAAAAAAATAATAATAATAATAATAAACACGATTGCTTATGAAGTTGTATACAATATTGTCAAATTTATTAATTTTACCATATATCTAATAAATATTTAGTAAAATACTAAAATATACCTAATGAGAATAACTAAATAATGACAAAATAACTAATAAATAAATAAAATTATCAATACATTTTTAATAACACTCAATATTTCATATATAATTATGTTTTACCCATTTCTATATCCTCAAGTATAACAATTTTAATTATAATAGATTAGGGTCAAGGCTACAGCAATGTCTATCACACCCGATTCGAACGCAGAATATTTTTTGACATAGGTAGATTATAGGTATGTTATAAGTCAAATTATTCATCTCCTTTTCATACCTCTTACAGATTGACATAAATTTACTAAAGACTGACACTTCATTGAAAATTGAAATTAACTTCAGCCGAATATACTGTGGCTACTGGCCAATTAAATCTGAGCTGTGTTTTGTTGTTTCGTCGATTTAGTAAACCAATCACGAGTATCATGTAATTTTATTATTGTCAAACGATGTTGCAATTTCATACAGTCATATTTGATATCCACTACATTAACAGCATTTTGAACGCTTTAATATTATAAACAAATTAATCGAGTTGGAAATATTAGTAACACAAATTTCGATAGGTTAGATCCGAAATCACCCTCAAATTTGAAAGTCGATACATTTTTTTAAACTGCTTTTGATTATCTGTTACTCTTTTATCTGTCAACTTCTGTAATACATTATCCATCATCCACCGTTATGGTATCGTGTATTATAAATATAATATTGAACGCCTGTATTATGAGTATACTGGCACTTATTTTCATCTGTGAGATAGATAAATTATACCATGTAATTAAACAGTATAGATTTGTACGAGTAACAAAATAAAGCCATTTTATCAAGTCTAAAGTTATTAAGAAAAATAAAAATGCAACTATAAAAAAGCTCGGGATTAATGTAGGTATAGGTACAAACTAAAATCACTAATTTATTATAATTATTCTATTTTATCATTATATACACTAATACTTATAATATTTAAATATTATATAATAATAATAATAATTAATAAATAATAATATCATAAAAATTAATTATTCTTATTTTATTAAGAAAAAAAAAACGAGTCTTGTTTAATTCAATTATCTGGTCACTCTTTTCACTTTTGGTAGTCCCATTAACTAATGCATATTGTCAACATATACGAAAAAAAAAATAATACATCATTGATATTTAATACTCAATCTATTGTAATCCATCGGAATAAAATATAATATAGTTTGAAACAATGAGTCGAAGTATAACAAAATATTGGAAGTATTAGTTTGAGGTATAAATAAATTGTGGAACAAATGGTCATTGGAATAAATAAGCATCAGAACAATTAATATACACTTTCGATATTAATTTTATTTAATTATTAAATTAACTATGGAATAACTATTTAGTGAGACAAAATAAATTTATTCGTACGACAATTATTGCGGGTTTGGATTTAAAATTTAAACCTTCGGCGATTGTACACCCAGAAAGGATAGTTGGCTAACCATGGTATTTTGTATTAAATATGATAACAGCATGCTGTTATCATGGCAAACAGCGGTACATGATTTGTTTATATAATTTTCGACACTTGACCGTATAGCGTTGCGTACGTGCGTACAGCATTAAACACACAGCATTGCTATTTGCTAGATAATCCTCGAGAAACTTCTCGTCGGTCTATTAATTTTACGTCTTAAGTCTAGTCTGCATCGGAAATCCAAAATCGTAATCTGAAGATTTTACTAGTAGACGTGGTAAGGTGTTTGTCACACATTCCTGTTTCTGACGATGATTTATTCTGAGGACGGTGACGGGATGACGCAAGAGGTTTTCCAAGCGATATTCGTCAACGACTTTGACGGACTCCAGAAGATCTACGCTAAACACAACTTGAGCACAGATATATTGGACGAACATGGCATGACGCCGCTCCAACATGCCGCGTACAAGGGCAACGAGCAAATCGTTCGTTGGCTGTTGAACAGGGTAAATAAACATTAGATTTTTTTAGTTTCTTTTATTCAGTTTTTATTAATCGTTTTGACAATTGCAGGGTGCTGATGTTAATTCAGGGAAACACAAGTACCGATACACTGCCCTTCATTTTGCTGCACTCAGCGGCAACCCCGTGGTGTGCAGTTTGCTGTTGGCCGCCGGTGCCAAAAGTGATTTGACAAATACCGTTGGACGCACAGCTTCACAAATGGGTGCTTTTGTTGGTTAGTATACTTATTAATCACACTTGCTAGGTATTTATGACATTTTTATTGTTTGACACAGGCAATCACAACTGTGTGGCGGTAATCAGCAATTATGTACCAGAAGACGAAGTTACTTGTTACACATTATCAGACTCAAATGACAATGAACCAAAGTTACCTCCAGAGTTAGCCCAACCTGTTCACAAATTTATTATGATGGTATTATTATTAATATTGGCAACATCATATAACTAAATTACATTGAGTGTGATAACTAATAACTATTATTGTACCATAATATCTTATAGACCAACATTCATCCAGTGAAAGTGGCTCTAGAAATACCTCCAGTTTTCCTGGTTGATAATAACGCTTTAAAAATTTACAAAGTGTTAAATTTGATGTGCGAGCGAGAAATTAATAAACAACTAGAGACTAATGAAGTGATGGCTTTTAAGTTTCATTATTTAGCTAGCATTCTAATTGAAATTGCCAAGTACAAGTAATTTATTATTTAAATAGTTAATAATATATTTTGCATTTTAAAATATTTTTCATTTTATATTATTTATAGTGATTTAAAAAGTGAAAAACAGTCAGATCCAAAAGAAGTATTCATTAAGAAAATATTGAAGAGTGAGATTTATTCGGAACAATTTCTTAAGGATTGCATTAGAATGTTTCCATTTAGGGACTGTACAATTTTCAGACAGGTAAAATTATTCTCATTCATACTATTTTATTTATTTTAGATTGATCACATCCTAGAATGTTTTACAAATAATCCTAGTCCTAGGTACCTTAAATTATTAAACATTAAACATTAAATATAATGAGTAAAATAATATAATCTTAGTGATCTATTTTAATAATTATGAGCTTACTAAACTAAATCCTTTTAGATCTACTAAGTTTTTGCACTTATGTTGAAATGAATTAATTTAAATCTTGAATTTATAAAATGTTAGATAAGATAACCTTACTTGTATTGATACAATTTCACTTTTAATCCCTATTTTTTGTTAAACGGTGTTTGAGCTAAAATCTTGAACTAACTTTTTTTGAACTATTTACAATTATTTATTTAAAATATAAATTGAATAGTCTAACTACACTTGAATATACAATTTTACTAAATTACTGATTTAGTAGGTATTCTACTAATTCCTAGAAAAAAAACTATTGTAACTTGTATTTATTTATTTTTTAAATTTATATAATTCAATGTATGATTATGTATAAAATATGTTAATATTTCATTTTAGATGGTCACTAGTTTGACACGAGTTAAAGATGGCATGACAGCACTCAATGTTATACTGGTAATGATTGGAAATAGACGTGGTATGGGTATAGATTCGTTTGGTGAAGAACGCATATGTGGTACATGTGCTGAAAATAATGCCTCCAAAAAATGTGCTAAATGCAAAGCTGTGCAATATTGTGACCGTGAGTGTCAACGCATTCATTGGTTTGTTCATAAAAAGGAGTGTAATAGAGAGGCCAGTAATAATGGTGCCTTACAAACACCTATAGACAGTTCACATGTAGCTGAAAGCTTATCTGGACTAGGGATAAAATAAATTTTAGCCAAAACAACACAACTTAAGTAACATTATGAAATATATATGCATTAATTATATATGTATGTATAAAATATTAAACGATTGATTGACAGCATATGTTATACATTTTAAATTTAGACTAACATGTATGCAGAATTATTATTAAGTAATTTGAAAATATGTGTCATAATACAATAATTTGTATAAACTATATAATTTAGAAGCTTTTGATAATGTTTTTTAACATTATAAAAACCATATTATATGTATTAGATTTTTGTGTGTAAAACATTTTGAACCTTGATATATTTGTTAGATAGTGTGTTGATTTGTTTCCAATTTAATAATAATCAATCCTATACCTGTTTTTAAAACATTTTTGCTGATTAATATTTTATCAATAATTTAATTCTATAAAGCCTCCACTTCAACTGTTAAAATGATAAGGTCTAAATATTTAATGTGTTATGCTCTGTTAGATGATCGATAAAATACTGTATGCTATCTTGTATTTGTCAATTAGACGTGAAATATATTATTACTCATTACTCAATAGTATTAATTTTATTTATAAGTAATATTATATTATTTAATTATGCAAACATAAAAACCATACAATTTAAATTACTAATGAAAAATAGAGATTAATATTATAATATTCCTATGATTTACTAAAAATTATCTTATATCTATCCTTTATAGTCTATACATATAAAATCCAAATACCAAACTCACTGATCGTTGTACCTCGAAAACTGCTCAACCTACAAACTCGAAATTTGGAATAGTGGTTCCTTTAACACTTTCACCGTACAATAAAAAAGGATTTTAAAAATTGTTGCGTTTAAGTGGACTAATTAATAATTTAAATTATTCGTTAATTAATAATGTACCTATTGTGTGGCATGGCAACCGGTCGCGCTGGTTTCCACCTACCTGCAATCTATACACTTACCGATCATGCGGCATGTAGATATGAATTGTTCCGAGAAATTTATCGACAAAAATACACACGGGCGAAGCCGGGTAATTCAGCTGGTTAATTCATATTATACACAAAATATAAGTATTTTAAAAATCTATAATGAACTCCCAAACACCAAAGATATTTTTTTAGCACTTGAAAACCACAACTGACAAATGTATATGAAACATAAACACATAATCATAATTCAAATATGTTTATTTAAATTAAATTTGTTAAGAAAAAAGTGCATAATGAGTAACAACAATTATACCTAATGATATCACGAATTATTACTATAAACAAATTTTTGGATCAAACAAATATTGTACTTCCAAATCATGACTGTACATTAGTTGATGATGTGTTATTCATACACATAACGAAGTTAGGATCGATAAATTTAAAAATTAGTGTTCTGTGGTCATTTGCGTTGTCGATTTTGTTGGATAAACACTGAGATTGCTTCTTTTATGGTGGTGTTTGGCGTCATCGACTTGGACACGAGCGGTTCGTTTGTCAATGGGCTACTGAATTTGCCTCGACGAAACCATGACATCATAGCCGATCTATCGTAAGTATGTCCGTCTATCCAGAAAAAAATAATATCAATTTTTTTTTTTTACGCATTACTTAAATACTTATTATATAAACTAAAGTTTTGATACGGTTTTATATGGGTCTACGCCCAATAGAAGTAACAACTGTATTTTTTTCTTTCTGTTACTGTTACCGCTTAGTCTGTTAATCATCAAGTACAGAGAATGAATGGAATGGTCGTTTTTCAAATCTCTTCTTGATATAGGTACCTTTGCGAATTCTTCAAAGACGAAACTGGGAACTAGAGTTAAACCTTGGACTGTATACCTGAACATATCACGGGATCTCTGAAGATCTGCTGTGTTATCGGACAGATGAATTCGTCGGGTGTGTCTGTCGACGACGATAGTTTGGACAATGCCACTTCCAAGTCTCGTCTGTCGTCATCTGCAAAGGAAACAAATTGTTTTTTTGACCGTGTTTCGCCATTATTACGTGTGCGGTTGGGCCGTTGGACGAAGGTTAAGTAAATGTTTAGGTTATGGTTTAGGGCAAAATTTAACATAACTCGTTTATATCATTGACGTAATTTATTATATTACACATTTGTACATAAAAAATTGTTCAAATTGAACAAAAAGCGGTTTTATGAAAATACAGGATATACTTCCTTTACCTACGTTTCCGTTTTAAAAAAAAATCAACCACACCGCAAAGTGGAGTAGGTACTGAACAATGATTTGTACGATATAATATGATATATTATTATAGTAGGTATTTAGTATTTACACATACTATATATACATATTTACATACCGTTCAATCGCAGTCCGTATGCTTCTAATGACGTCTATCAATCGAAAACAAAAATTACAAATTATATCGTTTTATAAATAGCATAACAAATATATGCTGTCGGTGAAATTAATTTTAACTATCTACGTAAATATTAAGCGTAACATATTATTTTATCAAGTATTTAGTTAATGAAATACATATAATAATATATAAGTATATAAGATAAAATCAATTCAATATCATTATATACCTACGTAAAACGATTGACAAATAATACTAATAATTTACATTCATGCGTATATGCATATATACCTACTGCCCACTGGTACGTTTAGGGTGAGTGTTCGCTATGCTGTTTACTGTGTTATAAATTTTATACTGTGAAAGGTTAATATTTTGCATATTATTATGCAATGTAGTTACCTACCGATTTCCTAATTGACGTCGCGCCTTCATCGTCCAACGGTAAATTCCATAGAAACATAGCTTTGTCCAACGACCCTACAATATTATTAACTTCGCATTAGTTCGTATTTTATTAACTTTCGTATAGTCTCACAACAATATCATTAAATAAAAAATATGATTTTAAAATAAATAGGTACCAATTTTAAAATACTCGATGTACAATGTACGTATATATGTAGTGTATTAGTATTGCTTTCTAGCTGTGTTCACATACGTACATCGACCGTATCGAAGAGTAGGTACATAACAAATATTTTAACGATATGTGTGCACCAAGTACTAACTGCGGTAGTGTGTTTATTTATCAAATTATCTTTCAAAAATCATATCATATTTAATTATATGTCTATTTCTTATTAAAATATTAGTAAAAATAATAAATATTCTTTAAAAAAAAAAAATATTGTTTAAATTTGTTTTGAAAAATCACACGACTTTAATTATACAAACAGTACCTATTTATTTATATGACATTGGCATATTCATTCGTTTGTGTATAATAAATTAATAAATAGGTAATAAATAATAATAATTATTATTATTATAGTAACCTGTAGCTAGTATTTTATTATTTGATGAAAATGAGCAACAAGTGAGAATAGCATCTTTAGGATCGATAACATGCAGACAATCTCCAGTTTTCTAAATAAAAATTAACAAACATTTCAATACTTGTACGCTAAAAATTAAATAATTCCTATTATAGTGAAGTTTAAGTTCAAAGAATATTTAAAAAAAATGTTTATCAGTGAAATACTTATTATAATTGATTGATATTTTTTTAAGGGAACTTATAGAAATTTTTATAGGAAAGGGGGTGCTTAACTTCAAAATTTCACCATTAAATGAACGCATACATACCTATTTACAATAATATTGATTTATTTTCGTTTTAGAATTACAGATGATTGTCAATTAATGAGAACTATAATGTGACCACCAATAATTATTGATTTAATAATGGATAAAATATTTTTTTAACATAATTATTAGGTTACGGTTTCTAATTTTGTCAAAACATACTAGCCTAATAATTATAGTTACCTACTCTTATACATTACGTATAATCTATATACATGGCTTTAACATTTCAAATTTCAAGTTAAGTTAAAATTAAAACTTGTAAAAGATGAAAGATTAATATTATTTTATAACAATTTATTATATTTTGTGCCAAACAAAGTTATTAATAAAAATCAAATGGCATACCTACACTTTCACATATCTTTCACGAAAAGTCAATTATTACAATATTATAAAGTGATTTATCGTCTACCGTTTGCCATATTCGAGCTGTCTTATCCAGTGAAGTAGATGCCAAGAACGTAGTAATATGCCGTGGGAATTTTACGCATGTTATGTCACTACCGTGACCAACAAACTTCATTTTGAAATCGATTCGGTCATCCAGTAGCTTCCAGGTTTTTACCATGGCATCATTGCCACCCGTCAACATCAATATCGATCGTGGTTTTCTAGACGGATCTGTGATATTAGCCCAATTAATGATAATATATATTATAATATCATATTGTATAACAGGTAAATATTATGAAGACAATTAAAAACACATTAAATTCACGAAGATTTTAATTTTCACGATTATTATAATATATTAAATTTGGTATGTCGATTATACATTTATAAGATTTATTAAAGAAATTGGACGAATAGAGTAATAAACAATTTTTTTTCAATAATATTACATTACAATTTGGCTATCATCAAAAACAATTAAATCACAAATGTCAAATGTACATGTAAATATGTACCTAGATTCCTCAAACCTATATATACACAGACTACTTAATGATATTTTTGAAAATGTGATATTAAAAAAATATAATATTATACATCATAATATGATCTATAGAGGTTATAGTGGATATGTACTAGTACTAATATACTATTAAATTGTATTTAAACAAAATTATATTATTTTGTCACATTTTATTTTTTTCTGCAGACATTTTTTAATTAATTTGTAATCAATAAATTTTAAACTAAAATCACGCAAAACGTTAAACATGTAAATATTAGTTCTTATAGTTCCATGGATTATTGTGATTAATGTATAAGTATGCAAATTAAGGTACTGAAACTATTATTATTTATGCTATAAAACTTACTCTTGAACGCGAAATGGGCACAGGTTATTCCAATTTCGTGCGCTTTATCATAGACAATTGTACTTGTTTCAGATATTATATGCTTTTTAGGATGAACTGACCAAATTCGGAAGTGCCCTTCCACACAACCGGACATTAAATAACGAGAATCTGGACTAAACGAAACACAAGTGACGTCTTCGTCATTCCCGGACAACTTCCTAAAATTGTTTCTATATATATTATAATTTATAATAATACATAGATAGTGTTTAAAATAATGTGTTAATTATTTTACAGAGTCAGAGAAATAATTTTATAATTAAATAAAAAATTTGTGTTATTTTTTTTTTAATTTATTTTTTTTACATAATCTGAAGTTAATATAACATAACTATATACTTGAAAAGTATACATTTTTACTATTTTTTTTTTGCAATATAAATTTATAGTTTATTAGTTCTAAATTACATAATGACGTATTTATATTTTTATTTGCTGCGGAATATTTTTTTAATAATTTCTTATTTTAATGTTTATGAATCAAATTTATAAAACTATATAATTAACTACTAGTTGAGTTAGATTACGTTAAGATGATTTGAACAGAATATAAAAATTAGAATAAAACAAACATGCACAAATTAGAATACAAGACTACCCTTTTAATATATTATATTTAAGTACAAGAAGTTAGAGCTATCAATTCACCCTGTCAGTTATTTGAAAACCATCATATACGTACGCGACAAGCTGTAACGTTTCAATTTTCCACACGAATATGATTTCGTTGTCGCAAGCGACTGCGATTAATTCGGAGTTGCTAGAAAACGAACAGGATCGGGCCCCGCCGTATTCAGTGTGTAACGAACCTTTCTGTTTTAGAGTCTATAAATCGATTTGAAATAATTTCCAATAAATTATAATTGAGAATGTCCATTGCGACAACGTATTGGTCAAAAGTTATATTTAGAGTTATTCACCAAAGTGCTTATCTTCAATTTTTCAGTTAATAATGAATGTATAAAAATTCAAATTACTGAAGTCTTCTAATAAATTTACTTGAAAACCATATTATTTAATTCTTGATATTTTTTTTTTTGGTACTATCAAAGAAGTATGTACTATAGTGATACAAATTTCTGTTTTTCAAGTGAGAATACTTCCTCCCTCCATTTCATTTAAACTGTAAATTAGGTATTTAATGGAATATTTTTCGAAGAATTTGATATACTTGATTTAAAATTTAAAATAGCTTTCAATTATTAAAATATGTTTAAACCAAGAATACTAATCCTTAAAAATAATTTTACAAAATTAAAATATAGGTACATAGAAGTAACATTTGATCTAGTCGTATTTATTGTCTATGGACCATTTGACAAATATATTATTAGTTAGAATTTTGAAATCGCCATATATTCACCAAATTATTATTTTCCAAGCCCATTAATGATAGACCTATAATTATTCTTAATACTTACATTAAGTTAAATAACTCAAAAATTTTCAGATAAGGAGGGATTATTAGGTATTTAAAAATCAAAAGTTTATATCTTAATGAGACATTTTTTAAACCTCAATAACTTAAAAATATGGTCTTCAAGTAAGTAATAAGTATATATCTAAAAACTGCAAAAATCTGATTTTGATTTTTGAATAACTATATTTTTAAAGAAAAAAGAGAGTGAACATGTATGGTGAATCCTCGGTATATGGATTTATGGTTATTGTAAACTGTTACATTAAGATCCCAGATAACAGTCATTCCATCCAACGAACAGGACGCCATGTACAACGAGCACGGAGAGATGACCATATGTTGCACCGAATAATGGTGAGCATACAACGGCGAGTCTTTGCACTCTTCAAAACGTCCGTTTTCGTCGAAATTCCAAACCCTGATGGTTTTATCGCTAAAAAAATTTGAAACAATATAAGACACAGCAGATAAATATTTCAAAATCTATTAACAATTATTGTGTTACCTGCCGGCTGCTACGAGGTATTTACATTCGTTGCTAAAGTCACACGAATTCACCGCATTTGTAAACATTACTTTTTCCCTCAGAGATACTTCTACTTGAATGTCTCTTCTAACGTTCACTGTAGATTTTAAGTCCTGAAACCGATATACAAATTTAATTAATGAATATTTACTTCACATACATACAACACAATATGTCGTCAATAAAATATGTTATTTTTTATGACTTTATTATTATTGATATTTAATATGTAGTAAAACAACATTCACCTCGGACGAGTCGTGTAATTTTACGTTCAAATCGAAGTGGCCTTTCACGTCCCAGACAATTACTGACTTGTCATTGGACCCTAAAAAACGTAACGTAAAAATACGTGGACAAATAAAACGAAATATGTACGCGTTACAATTTGTTTTAAATATTCAATTTATTACTGTAATATGTGCATATTTTTAGGTGCCTATTTATACATAATATATTATAATGCTTTGTACATACAATACGAGTACAAATTACAATATTATGCTGAGCATGTATGTTCATGAAAAATCGTCCAAATAATATGCATTCGTGTAGCGCGGAATTATTGTAACAAGTCATAGAATCGTTGGCAATTTACCAGTCGCAAACAGTAAACCGTCTTGAGAGAATCCACAAGTGTTAACATAACGGGTGTGTCCTTCCAGTACTTGTAAGCAAACTGCATTGTTTTTCTCGACCATCTTAATACAATAATAAAAATAACCATTCTAACGATATAATATTATATAACTACATTTCCGTGTAAAAAATATTACTATGATTCGTTCTGGGAGACTATTTGCCACTTATAAGGACATCACACCCACATGACCTGTTGTTGTCTCTATGTTACGAATGTACAACGTAGCACATTTTCGATCAGCAGAACCAATTTTATGTTGTCATCATTAATATTAGAGTGAATAGATCTTTTATAAGATTTAAAAGTTTGAACATTATCAGTGTTTGTATGTCAGATTTTTGCGATGTTTTAATTTATTTTAAGTTGATTATAAGCATTTTTATATTTTTATATTTAATATTTTTATCTCAATTCAAAATTAAAGTTTCTTAAAATATGACTATAAATACTGATAACATTTTTACTTCAAAGTTTAATAATACTGAAGTTATACCGAATCTAATAAATAAAAACACGAAATTGGTTCTATTGAACGTACATTTACAATGTTGTATTTATTAGTACCTAGCTACATATTTATATGATGAAAATAGAACATAATATTTTAGTTGAATTTACGTCGACTGATAGTTATTAAAGGTCAATTTATAAAATATATTGAATAATTTATACTGTTTAATAATCATTGTATCATTTTAAAAACCCACAATTAGACTCCCAGATTAGGATTTTATTTTGAAACAAACTCTCGGTAGTGATTCATAACAATAATTTTAAAATAACAAATAGGAATTGTATATAGGTTTAATAGCCATAGATGCCGCTGACCAATAATAATAATAAAAAAATAATAGGAATTGTTTTGTTACGTATACGAGTATAATAATATAATTTAATCTAACCATAATAAACACAATCTTGGTTAAACGGCAAAGATATTTTTTCGCTAACTTGTTTTTTAACTCTAGTTTGTTAAATTACAATGCATATATATTTTTTTAAATCATTATTCTTAAACTAGGCTGAGCTTGATTTATTTTATTAATTTTACAATAATTCCAAAATACATCAAGGCATGTAGTTATTTAATGCTTACACATTAATAAAACGATTATTGTCCATTAAAAAATTATTAATTAAGGTACCCACTACAATAAGGTCACAACTTTCTTCCTTACTTTTTTTGTAGACTCGATATGTTGCTAATATTTTCATATTTTACCACCCCCTTCCTCAAAATAAAAAAAAAACTCCAATATGTATCGTTGCATATATTTAAAATCGTTACCCTCCAAATCCTTGTAGTCTTGTCCATTGAAGTAGAAGCGAACAGCGTGGCGTCAGCGCCGCAAAAACACACACTGGTCACTATTGATGAATGGCCTTTTAACGACTGAACCATTATGACAGCACACTGATGAGAACCTGCATTTTTCTTCCACAGAGTCAGTTGCCAGATTTTCACCAAGTTGTCGTTACCGCATGTCAGTATACTGTACACTTTACCCTTATCTACAACATTGAAAAAAATATACGCGTACTGATTTAAAAATAAAATGCAATGAATACATAAATGTATACACCTGGATTAATCATGCATTTATTATAAATTATTGTATTAGTAGGTATGAGGGCTATATTATGTAGTTAAAATGTTTACACTTAAATTTTAAGTAAATATGTAGAATAAATATAGGTATTAAATGTTTTTTATTTACTTTCGTATTGCGAATAGTTAAGTAAGTAGTGAATAAGTAAATACACGATTAACTAGTTAAAAATATGATAATTGGTTTGTGTATAAATTGAAAAAATATCATGCTACGATGATGATATTGTTACATTTATAGATCTACCATGACAGTAAATCGTCATAAAATATTATAATACATATATAGTGCAGTATACTATTAATTATTGTCATTCTAAAAATGTTTATAATATTAAGTTAGCTTGATTATATAATTTATTTTTAAACATTTAAAAATATAAAACACAATATACAGCATTTTTTATAAGCTATATTAATATATAAAATTATTATTATTTTGTTTTAATAAATATTAAGACATTTCTGAGTTATAGTATAAAAAACCACAGCAAATAATATAGAAATTAATTATTAACTATAAAGCAAATAATTTCAAATCAATACTCTGAATAAATTATTATTCAACCCGTCTGTAATTTATAATTAATGATAACACATCCGAATTCTTTACTACGAAAATAAACAGCTAGCCATATCACCACATATTTAATAATATATTAGGTATAGTGCAGTGTATTTCAATTTAAAATACCGTAAAATGTCTATTCTATAAACATATTTATTATTAAAATGTTTTATCATAATTGTTTAATGTATATCAAATATGATGGTGAAAAATTCTATAGCTTTTATTAAAATAATCAAACCGTTTCTATGTTCATAGTTTTTTTTCAAAAACTTATTGATACTTTTAATGACATGTCACTCACTTGTTATTGTAGTGACAGTTGATATGTCGGCAGAATTCACACCCATATCGTGGCAGTCAAATAATATGTTTAAAGGAGTAGTTTTTCCGCAAGTATCGGTCAGCTCGGAGACTGACCACACTTTGGCCACCCCCGTTGTGTCACCCGTCAACATTATTCTCGAGTCTATAGAACAACATACCATCGAAATAGCTTCTTCGTGCGCCGTAACTGTCCTGTAAATAAGAAAGTTCCGTAAATAGTATATGCGAAATAAAAATTATGTTTTTATAAAGACTTCAAATTTTATGAAAAGAATATTAATTATTTTCGTAATAATAACACCGAAATTAGCTTTCTTGATAAATTCAAAAAGTGGAAGTATAAATCAGAAATCAGAATCTATGTTCATATCTAGCCGGTAAATAGAATTTCTATTCAAAGTTATTAGTTATTACAATAATAATAATTGTTGATATTAACAGCTATGCACCTAAATTGCCTATTCAACACGCCATTCAATGACTATGACACTGACGTTAGTTAAATGAAATTCTATAATGCTATAAAAATATACAATGACCTATGAGCAACGACCAACGACAATAAGCTCTATACTGGATTGTGATGTATGATCATTAATCACTGATGTGTAATTTAAAAAAATTATTAATTTATTGTTGTTAAAAAAAAAAAAAAAAAAAAAAAACATGAACTTTTTCGCAATATTTATAAATTATTTCATAAATAAATTAACAAAACGAGTAGTTAATATTTATATTTAAATATAATCATTAAATTAAAAAATATAAAACTAGTACGTCGGAAAAAATTAAATCTATCAACTTATAATTTATTAAAAGATTAACTAATTGTATTATAAGAATACTCACTTAAAACTTTTATTTTCGTGTTATTATTTTTGGTGCACGCATCGAAAACGTTAGAGCGTCATTGAAATTAAATAATTAGTTATGATATTTATTTTAAATACGACCTCATTATACTTCAATATAAATTATAATATTATGAAAATTATGTATACCTGACCAGAACTCGTCTAAACATGTCCCACACGCACATGGTTCCATTGTCACCAGCAGATACAAAATATTTATAATTTCTCACAAAACACGACGATCTTATACCACCGCAACTGTTTTGAACAAATGTGTGCACAATTTTCCCTGTCTAAAATTTATATTTTATAAAATCCATAAAAGGTGTTATGATTAATTTGTTATATTTAAAATTTTAGATATGATATTTAATATTAATACTCAATCAATACAATAATAAGTGAAGTAATGGACTAATGAACTATCATATCCTTTTGAATATAATACTAATATAATACTATACAGTTCGAAATTTGAAACTAGGATATTTAGTTAAGCCTATTGCCTATGTAAGTGACAAAAGTATACACGTACAGGCAGAAATAAAATAAATACTTATGACCAACACATGTCTTAAATTTTAACTTTATGTATACAAATACACATAATGATTGTATGGGGTATTGTAAATTCAATTAATACTCGTAAGTTATAAACTATTTGTTTAAAGTTAAGTTATATTTAAAATATCAATTACTTAAAATTATATTTTATTTAGACTTTATAGGTTTCAGTTATTATTTTCAAAAGGAATCTACAATCAAGCAAATTTCTCAAGCAGCCATAGATTTACCGACGAAACTATAATAGGTAAATAGGTAAATAATACTTCAAGTATATGATGTAGATATACAAAATATCGAAGATTAAAAAAATTTCGTCAAATAAAAATATTTAAAAGCAACTGATGAAATTATCATTTAAAGGATGACATAAAACATTTAGAGACATAAATGTCATGTACGTTAATGAAATTTGATAATAATTAGTTTTAAATTATGTATATACACTCGTACATTATAAAAAAATAATTACGTTTTGTATAATGATTTATTAAATACCATTTATACATTCTATAATGAACAACATTGAATATTATGTTACGGCTTTAACAACATAATATTATGTAGTATTTAATTATAGTATAATAAATATTAAATAATAATATAAAAATAATCAGACAAAATGTTATACGAAAATATTTTTTATAAGTTTAAAATTTAATAAATTATTTCAATCTATTATTGAAAACGTGTATATTATATCAAACATGAAATCGTGTCACATAATATTAATTGAATTAAAAACATCAAAGAGTATTATTTGTGCGTAACTCCTTCTGCATATTATATAATATATATAATCATTTACAGCTTATATTTATGGGATTGAAATAATTATATACACAGCATATATACGATTACTTTTAATAGATAGTTTCGTTGTTTTATAACAATGTATACATTTATTTGTGTCTTGTGTATAGCATGTGTGTTTGTGATAATCATTAGTGGAATTAAAAAAAATAACTCTATAAGGAGAAAGCCAATAATTCTTATGCGTTCAAATGTTGGCAGCAAATTAGATGTTGTACGATAAGGATACATTTCTGTAGACGTGATTAAAATGTTTTATAACTAGGCTTTATCGAACCGATAAATATTGTGAAGAAATGTATAATATTATGTCGCGGTCGGATTGGATTTAAAATTCAAGTCAAAACTCAATTTTTAAAATAATCGCGTGCAACGATGACGACGTAGGAAATATCAGGTATCACGTAATATTATATAATGTTTATAAGTCACAGACTACAGTTATAGAACTTAGACTGTAGAAATATTAACCCTGATAAAATCGATAATCGATGTAGTTTATAAAATAAATATAAAATTGGGTAATACTGGATAGTATTATTCCGTCAATTGGTAAGTGAGAAAGATACACACATATTCTCATCACTGTTTAGTCATTCAAAGGAATTTTCGCAAAATATAGCTTTGGAGCGTTTTTTCAAGCTTTTACGAGCCTCCGCGACTGTAAAAATAAAATTATAATGTAGGTACATTCTTACTTCGACATCGCACAGCGTAGTGCTACCATCTAAGGACGACGTTACCAAAATGGTAGCATCTTCGTTAAATTGTACACAAGTCACCATGTACTTATGGTGGGTCAGTGGTGAATAAGATTTTTCCTCGAAACCGCGGCCGGACCGCCATTTCCACACGCTCACCGTCCGGTCACTGCAACAATAATCACACCGTTTGTCAATTATTTGTGACGTAATCCGATAAATAAAACATGGCAATATCATAATAATTATTATATTATTACCATTAATAATACGATTTAAACTATATTAAACACTAATCATTCGTTCAACATAAGTATCGATTTCTATAATCTAAATTACAGGTTAGCTGTAACATAAATCACGCTCTTACTTAAACAGCGGCGATCACGTTTAAGATATGCCTTATTTTATTTATTTATAAAATGTCTAAATATATTTAAACGCGATGTAAAATATATGTGTGTACGCCGGTTCATTAAAACCAAGGTAATACGTCATATATTATACATAGATCTATTCTAAATGAAAACAGATAACTCTATCAATAGTCCAATCGTTTGACGTCTTAAAAAAAAAGAACCATCGAAGCGTTCTATAATGATACCAGGACGAACCAATACGTTTACGTTCATGGTTTTTGGCAAGGTCTATGTAATAGGATATTTAATCAGTGTTATAATTTATAGTCAATAAACGGACTCGTGTTTTATGGTGTTAAATATTGATTTAGGCTTAAAAATAAGACGTTGCTATTGATGTATATTTTTTTATTTGATGTTAATCACAGTATATTAAAATAATTTATCAATATTTATTGACGCATGGTGTAAACATGCCCCATCCGATTCTTTTAAAGAAAATTATCTATTACACTTGGCATTATTAAAAACAAAAGAAAGTTCGAATTTCCTAAAATATAATGACTCACCCATATCTTCAACATTTTTGTAAAACTTTTATTTGAGGTTAATCAGAATATTTTGTTTTTTACTTAACAATTTTCCACTCAATATATTAATAGTAAAGTTAGGTTAACAAACCCTATTCGAATTAATTTCCAAGTAAAATATTTTCTGAATTTTTCATCGCAAGTGAAACGTACGTATTAGTATTATAAACTATTGGATAATATTAACTGTGAGAGGCTAAAAAGTATATATTACGTCGATTCTTTTATTGAATAAATAAATTATAATACTCAAAAAAATTATTTTCAAATGAGTATCTAAGAACTTCAGTCCCGTTACCCACCCCTTGTGTAAAACGTAATATAATATTTATATTATATAATAAAATACATACGTAGATGGTTGAAGAACTTATGACAACGAAATGATCTTACCTTGACCCGATGGCCAGATGAAATCGTTTGGAAAAACAACATTTGGTCACGTCACTGGCGTGTTTATGAATCGTCTGGATACGTTTGGCGGCAACGGAAACGTCCGCTGCGCAAGTGGTGGCGGCCGAGGACATGACGGCGTGGCGCAAAGGCCGTGACTGCACTAACGCGGAAAAATATCATATAGAGAGCACGTAGGTACAATATATAGAAATATATTGTATTAAAGTAATATATATTTACAAGTAGGTATAGAGTGCCTGCTGCATGTCGACGGCGCATCGTTATTATACACGCCAGTGCGACATTCACGCGACCACCTGCTACAGAATATCATATACAATTATTCGATTGATATACCAATATTTATTATTAATTCCGAGTTGGTAGCTTATTTTTACGTAGGTATACTATATAAATGTGTAATATAACGCAACACCACTGACCGCAGTAGTATACATTACAAGACTCGAATAGATATCGACGGTCTACTGCAGTGGCTTTTAACCTTTTTAACAATGTAGCACACTTCATCTCTTAAAAAATTTTCGCGGCACACCAATCCATATGATTAATAATTTAGCCTAGCTTTATGTTTGATATTCATTAGTTTTTACCGAATATCGATAATAATACTGACGAATACATACTTATAAAACTATTAATAGTTTTTATTGCGTCACACTTTAATGGCGCTTACGGCACACCGGTTGAATCCTCTGGGCTCTAGACTAAAGGGTTTGGAGTGTAAATGAAATATCATGAAATATACTTAATTTAATCGTGAAATTGTCAAATTCGCTATATACACTTTGCCATAATACAATACTAACGTGTACTATTGTAGTGGAAAAGGTTATTTCAAGGCAATTGTCTCAAGTTAGCTTATAAATTATAAATTATGACAACATTATTTTTTCAATAAAAAAATGTATTCTATAGGAATTACAAATCCATATTTTTGGTAGACGGGTCATTCATATTTTACTCGATTATAAAAGCTGTTTAGCACGTAGCTGTGCCATTGTAATTGTATTATTCAATACGTTAACACTTTTCTATAATACGTATACATATTTTCACTACTTTTTTTTGTTTACCCCTCATCGAGCCAGGCAAATAGTATCTATATAGAAATATACGAGACATGGTTTATTTATTTAGTTTAATGGAGTCCATTTCAACTATAAAATATTAATATACCAACCACTTAAATTTCATGTTGATGAATTATCTTCAAAATACTTAATGAAGTTGTAACTTTTAAGGTATAATATACCTTATAAGCTACATGTATATCGTATATTATACGATATACATGTAGCTGTAACTGAGCATAATTTTTTCACCATTTTTAGCTAGTAGTTAGTTCAATTCTATTCCTATGTAGTATGCATTTTATCAATTTCGTGCCAATCTACACCACATATACATGAAATTAAGTTATTTATTCTATGAAAGTATAATATATATTACATACTTTTGTAATGCTATAATAATACAAGTACTTTTTAAATATAATAACAGTTGTAATGCCATTGTGGTTAATAATTCAATACATATACAGTATACACCGTACGGCATACATGCGTATATTTTCTTTACACATATAACGTAAGTAATTATTATTCTTGTAGGTAAACACTTTTTTACAATTTATTTTATTGAAAACTAAGAGAGATGGCCAAATGCAGACATCAATTAACAACTATAATATTATACTTTTTTCTGCTTAAAATGTAAATACACCTTAATATCATACTCATATTCAAAACTATTATTAGGTATTAGATTGTTTGAATAAACAAATACAATAAAAATAATCAATCACTCTAAAATTATAAGCATTACAAGAATAAATAAAATCTTAAATTTGTATACATATTTTTATTAAGTATCTTTGTTAATTTTGTATGGCTTTCATTATAATTAGTAAGTATTATTATTTATTTAGAAATCTTTGTGTTAAATAAATTTATAATGCACTTAATGATGTTTGTTCATAGAAGGTATATATTTATGAATAGTTAAAATATTAAATATAATATGTAGTACTTTCTATTACATTTATTTGCTTTATCATCGGGTTCATCTGTTCGTGTTTTTAAAATAATTATAGTAGTAATACTTCAACAAATAAAGTAAATGCAAATGAACAATTATTACTTCGAAGAAGTTTTTAATATTTTATGAATTTTGGATAAGAATCACCTTGACCGTCCCATAGACAATCAACAATCAATATTGGTTATAGGAATAGGTTAATGTAAATAATAAAATATTTTTTAAGCCATTGTAAGTATAGTTATAAGAACAAAAAATAACACTACCAAAATTAAATTCAAAGTATTATTATTATTTAATTCTGATTGTTGATGGTATAAGTTGCAATATTATACATAATCTGGTAGTAGCCAGTATTGATAAAATTATTTTTATTTTTATCATTGTTTTTAGATTAAATGCAGTTAGATTGCAAATATTATTATAATATGTAGGTAATTACTATTTATAAAAGACACTTTTTTATAATTTTTTCTATTTTACCATTTTCCACAATATTCATTCATTATTTTGTTCATTTTTAAATACTTTTAAAATATATTTTTTATAATTTTAGTTTTAAACGTACGCTGCAGTTATTTAAATATATTTTTGCTAATTTTCGAAATAATTCATAGATTCTTTACAACATTAATCAAATATGTTATTTAAAATATATTTATATTGTATAATGAATACAATATTGATTACATAACTTTTTTTTAAACACCTTTCAATTTAAAATTTAATATTTATATAATAAGTATAAACTAAATTGTAATTTATCTATTTAATTGTTTAAAAATATTTTATTAAATATTTAACACATTATTATGTTTTTATTAGTCCTATTTCTAATTTAACATAAACAGGATTTTAAAATTTAATAAAATATTTCATTTCAATCAATAAAAAAAAAATATTGTATCTAAAATTTTATAGTTTCATCAACTTGCAAATGAACATTTTTATAAGTTGCAGGCTTATTGTATGAAATATAAAAAAAATGTAACATATTTACATGTAATGTAGAAAATATTTCACAAATTTATGATACTATAACAAATTAAAACACAGCTTTTTAACACATTGGAGACCGATTCAGTATAAGTTATTTATTATCAATATTTTCTATACATGATCAACATATTATTTCTAATGATCTATAACCGAGCATGTTTAAAAAAAGAAAAAAATATTTTTCAATATTTCAAATTCAAAACCCTAAATACAAATGAATGTATCTAACAACTTAATATTGAGTTGCCTTTATGTCGATTAAGAATATTCGTGTCTACATAATTTTCGTTAAAATTTAATTTTTTGAACTAGAACCATTATTCAACCATTAAATAGTGTCTATTTTATTAATATTTATAATCTAACAGCTCATACTGATATTAATTCCTTCGGGCTCATATTCCAAACAAACTACATTTTTATCTAATAAGGTCATATAATATTATATTACATACTATATGTCACTGTATGCCCTAAAAGTTACATATCAATTCAAGTATCTTTATAGAAGTCAATTTATTTGAATGTGCTTTTTTTAAGAGTCATCTATAAAAAAAATTCCAATTTATTTTTTTATACTGGGTATATGTATTTCAATAAAAAACCTCAAAATTTTAAAATAGTTGTTTTTAATCTTATTTTTTTGAACACTATGTAATATGTATAAATACATTTAATTGATCAATTAAATGATAGCATTTATGTAATAGAATTACTTGAATTTTTACTTTTTAACCTGAGATATATATTTGTGTTACGCAGTTACGTTAGCATTTGACACGCGATTAAAATACCAAAATTATTTACTATAGTAATTTAATCGACGTGGTTGAATATATTCTAGCTATCACCTCCACTCACTACTGCAATTTAAACATTCTCATCCTATCGATGTAAATTTTATAACATATTCGTGCTAAAATACCACTAATTTTATTATTATTTTTTTTATTTAAATTTAGAATATAGGTCATAAACCATAATATTTCAAAAATATAATGCTTTAACGTTTACAGGCTAAAAAAATAACCATATCGTTATATTCACATAAAATGCCTACAATAAATATTAAATATATTTATTAAAATGTACTGTTAAATTAAAAAAAAAAAATCGACTTTTAGTATTTTACGTAATAAAATACCCATGATATTTAATTAATAAACATGTTTTTATTTTTTACAAGCTGTTCGCTGTCAAAACGTAGCTTATTGTTAGTTACGTACTATTCATGCATTTTCAGCATAATTTCAGTCTCTTGACACAATATCACCATCGTAACGTAAGTGCTATAAGTTTTTATAAAAACTATAACAAAAAACACTCAATGATAATCCTTAAGTTTAATACGTTTAGAGATTAAAATGAATTATGTATCTGAAATCTTCCCATTGTATTAACTTTAAGTGTTTTTATATACTTTTTTAAATTTTACAAAGACAAATTATTTGTATTTATATATATTATAAAGTTTCAATAAAAATATGATATTCCAAAATCGTATAACGATGATAACTGTTATATAGACTGATATACATAATTTAGTCATATATTACATTTCAATAACCCTTTAAATATACCGTTAAATGTATAAACAACCGTAATCTAACGTGTTGGGAATTTACAATATCTCAATAAATAGTTACCGTCTAATGCATTTTTACACTAATAATCAATAGTATTTTTACATTAAATCTCATAAAATTCTCTTGCTCGACATATAATAATATGTATATCTATTTACGGTTGACAATTATACGATATCTCACATAGGTACACAGCAAAATTATCAACATTTGTGGTATAATTAATCATTATTTATTATTATTTTTGATTCTATTTAATGTTTAACGTAAAATACAATAGAATATTTCGAATTTTTGTAGATTTTTAAATAAGGAATAATAATTTAAAATGTTATTATAATTTATTTATCCTTGATAATTTTTTTCAAAACTGAATGAAACACTTAAAAATTCACAGATTAAAATAATAATATAATAGATATATTTTTATCAATGATAACAGTATAGGTACCTATAATGAAACTAAACTAAAATATTATTTTAATAATGAAATAAAAAGAATTTTCAGCTTTTCTAAAAAGTAATAACTATCATTACGAGCTCTTAACACTAGTTAACTTAACTTAGCTTAACACTAATTATAATGTTTTTGTAAAATATTTTCTATATATATTTAATGTTTCTAAAATTTCATTTCTTCATTTTGTATTTGGAAACATAACTGGCAATTAATTAATTTTTCGCAAAAAAAATATACATCAATATTTAATAGTTTGTTTTGAAATAAATTAAAAATTTTTAACTCCCATAAACATCTAATTAAACGAGTTATTTTGTTTTTAAAATATACTTTGGAATTGCATCTGTACATTAATGCAAAAATTTAAAAAAGTACAAGTTCAAAATAATGATCTTCAAACTTGTTGTTATAACTGTTATTATTTATTTATATTTGAACAGTGGAAGCTCCAATGAAATACTTTGTACAAAACAAGTGAAAATTATATTATTTAAGTATAGGTAAACTGTATAATTAAGTATTGGACTTTTGAAAACTCATTCCATTCAACACTATGTATATACTTAGACACATTTCACATCAACCTCATTCATAATAAAATACACCTCATTATATTTGATATTAAATCTATCAAACAAGATATAATAATATCGAAACATAATAGTTATTTAACAATATTTTAATATTTTAATGTATTATATTATATTTTTTTGTGTAAACCATAATATTAATATAAAAATAACGACAAGGCACGTCATAAACGTTTTTTCACCCTTTTTAAGCCAATATCATAATAACGACGATGATAATAAAAATAATAATAATAATGGCGCTGTGAAAGAAAATATGTATAGGTAGTAGGGGACGTCTTGTCTCGACTGTTTGCTCGTCTTGACACGTCTGTTGCTGTTAACTGAGTGCAGTGCACACTATCTCGTCTCTGACGCCACATATATTTTATACTTACTCTCCTGTTGGACATCAGTAGCAACTATCGAGGAAAACATTTTACATATTTCATCGTCTTCAAGCACATCGCGTTCATAATATGGCTACTGCATTCGTAAGTACATTTTAATAATACATTAGTATATTTTTTTCAAATATTATTATTATTATTTTAACTAAGGTAAGAATTATTTAGATAAAAAAAAAAAAAACTAATATAAAATAAATTATAGGTATCTTGAAAAAAAAGTATTCGATAGAAAAGGTATATTTGTCGTAAATTTGTAACATGACAAATATATAATTACAGCTTCGGATGTTACGAAATAAATTTCGCTAGTTATAGTTATTAATGTATAGAAATAATATGAAATACTAAATTATAAAAAATCATATGTAATACCCATATAATTATTATATTTTACACATAAGTTAGAATCGAATGTAGTAAAACTACAAAATATGCAAAATAATTGGTATGAAGTTATAGCTTTATAAATTTAAAAATATAATGTACAATAACATTTTAATTTAATTTGATTTGAACGTCTTATAAAATGCATGTTACATTTCAACTTAATTTTATATTTTTCAAGTTTATTTTTTAGGGTGATTCACTAAACATCCTCATCCCCATTTGTTCCTTTAATAATGAATTATTAGATTATTTTAATTTTGGCTTTTGAAATTTCAAAGTATACTTAAGGAGCATGAATTAAAAAAATTTTATAGTATCTTAAAATATTATTCTATCAAATAAGTGTCATCATTTTTATTTTTATAGTTAATTTAGATAATTTTTACAATTTATAAATCGAAATTCAAACAAATAGTTTCAAAGTTTATTATAATATTTATATAGGAGTATATTAAGAATAGTATAATTCATAACAGCAAGTTTAGAAGATAAATTCAATATTTATTTTTAAGTTATAGTATTAGTATTAATTTATTTATTTGTATACATTTTAAGAGTATAATAGGAGTATAAGAATGACTATACCTACTAAATATTATATATATTTTGCATAAAATTATTTGTAAAGGCAATAATTTTTAGCAGGTACATTAAGTTTAACAACCCAAACACTAATCTTTGAATTTTGATTTAGATATCTCAATATTTTCAAAAAAATCATTCAACTAACAATTTACAATAAAAAAATTTAATTATATTAGAAAAAAGAAATTTGTATCGATATACAATACTCGTTAAATGATACAAAAAATTCTAAGCATTTAAAAAAATGGTCTTTAATTTAACTTAAAAATTTTAAAAATTTTAATTTTAATAAATGCATTATTAAAGGACAAATATGAGGAAAGCATACTTGATGAATCATTTTGTGTCTACAATGTGTATACTTATAGAATCATATTTTAATAATTTAACTAATGTTAAATTCAATTATTAAGATTTTAAAATATGGTTTATTAAAAATCATTTTATTTTTATTTTTAACTCAATAAAATATAATTATTTGCATTAAACGTAATGAATACTATTTGGGTATTATTTTTTTTTTACAAAAATAAATTAATAAATAGAATAAAATAATACATTACACGTGCATCCTTAAAAAATCCCATTTTTTTAGTTCAATCATTCAAAGATAAATATTAACTGTTTCACTGATTAATGGTGTTTTATATATTGGTTGGTATACATTATTCTAAGGGTAATACAACATTTACTACGTTAAATCTGGAAACAAGTTATTAAGTTCTACATAAATATAATATATGTTTATAAAGAAAACTTTTGATTGAATTCTGTTAATTTGTATTAGTATACAACTGTCTATTGTTTTATTTTTAACAAAGAAATAATTAAGATTAATCTAATAATGTTCTATGAATTAGATTTAAAAAAAAATTTCCAACTTAAAAAGAAAAATTAAAATAATATTCACATTTATTAGTATTGTTTTGTTTTACATAAAAACTATTAAACTGACAATAATATTTATTTTGTTCATAAAGCAAACAAATTTAAATTCAAAAACATCTTTCATGAATTAATAAACATTGTATTAAAGTTTATTTTTTATTAATTAATACGCATTTCAGCATTTGTGAATTCATTAATATAGCTACTTAATAATAAATATAAATTTGAATATCTTCTTATAATAAAACTTAATAATTTAATACTCGTACATATAATTTACACCCTTTGTTAACGAATAAAACTTTAAATTTAAATTTAAATACTCAATCGTTACAAATGTAATTTTCTTGTTACTGGAAAAAAACTATAATATATATCTACAGATCAATTATTTCAAACGTATATTAATTTTAAAACTTTTATTACTTCAACGGATATAAATAAACGAGTTGAACTTGGCATGGCTATTCGAGGTCAATTAATTTTCGGTAATCACATCCAAAGAAATGAAAATATCATTAAGGAGCGTGTAATATGACCGATGCGTGTGTTAGGTGGTATACCATATCAATATACTGATCGCGATTTTTCTTTTCATCGTTGAAGGTCAATCTTGCTTTTGCAAAATGTTTTACTGCACGTTCAACCCTGGTGGTTCGTTATGTTATTTTTTTATACCGCATAATATACTATATATGTGCGTACAATAAATATATAAACGTCGTACAACCTTGACAGTGCAAATTCAATGCAAGATAATATTATTGTGTGTAAGAAAAATAAAGACTATTCAAACACAGTATAATAATGTGTACATGGCGTATAAATTTCAATTATTTTGAAAAACGTAGTCATCGTTAGAATCTGGTTTACACACGTTAACTGTACATATACCGAGACAAAGGTGCTTATATTATTATTATGTATACATACATTATAGGTGCTAAATATATAGTGGACTAAACGTTGTCGGACGGACAAGTCCCGTTGGATATAGTAAATAATCATAAATTTCAATAGTTTTGACTAGCAAAAAAAAAAAAAAAAATACTAAACATTTCGTATTATTTTACCTATATATAGAATACACTCGATTACGCAGCGCTCTAATTCGGTCGCATAATAGTTTGTTTGGGATGATAATTAACAGGTTGACCGTCAGAATAATATGTGGGCACTTGATAATAAAGTGATGCAACACAAACTACATTATGTACAGTTTTCAAATCTATATCTACAACAATTTTTACGAATTGGACGATTTTTTTTTTTTTTTACTCGTTAAGAATAACACTAAAATAAAATAAAACAATATTCAACTTGTTCACAATAAGATAAATATAACCTTTATATATCATCAACGATTTCCAATTTCATAAGCATTTCAAATAAGTTATATAGGTACTTATATCGCATTAATATTTCATCTTTGGATTAAACAATTAAAAAATAAAATTCCATAAATTTGATAAAGGTATAATTTATTAAACAGAATACATTTTTTTTTTTTTTTTACTCATCAATTTATCCTTAATATATTAAGTAACAAGAAACCAGCAACTAATCGTTTTAATATAAGTATTACAAATACAAGGGAAAAAGTATTGAAATTACTCGTATCGAATGTCTCACGTGATATAATCATTTTGATACAGTTAAATAATATTTGCGTAGGTTTTTAGTCGCAACCCGAATAGGTTCACATTCACTTTTTAACTAGAGCGAATATCCAATGTATAAAGTCAATGTATTTACTTTCGCCTAAAGTCACAAATTTAACACAATTCTCCATGATATGATGTTTATATTATTATTTGATAGATATTTACAGTTAATAATTATACTTAAACTGTAAAAATTTTATTAAATACATCTATTATAGTGTTCTTATGTTTTTATACTTAATGTCAACATTCAATTACCCTTAAAATATTATAAACTTTTTCATATAGTATATTCAGAGCTAAATATTTAAATGTTTATGTACTTTGCATTGCCTGTATACTGTAGTCTGTAAGTAGGTATAAAATACAGATTAACGTTATATTATTAAATTATAAATTTACAACCGAAAAAAATGATTTCATTTAAAACAGTCATAATATTATATATGTATTAGAAACTTTATAAAATTAACTCAAAATATTATTATAATAAAAACACAAAATTTATGACACAAACGTCAAAAACACACAAATTAGTTATGATAGAGTGATATAAATATTATATATGTATTTTATTTAAAGAAGGACTTACTTGTTGTAAAATATTTTATTAGAAGTTATTAATGAAAGATTCTTTGATTCGTATTAAATTGTTAACGGTAAACAGGTACATTTAATCGTATATATATATATATATATAGTAGATAAATGTAGAAATTCAGTTTATTAAATTTAATACTCCGAGTATCTAACTCTAGTCTAAATCTAAGAAGAGCTCTGAATACTCGATTGGTAAATTGAATATATTATAATTTTGTTTACTTGAGTTTCCATTGACATATAATATATATATATCTGCCATTACGTAGGACGAAAATCATTTTAAGCGAATTATATTTCAAACAATATAACTTTTATAGTTTCATGTGTATTATTATACATTTTTATTATCAGAACACTACAATCACATCGGTCTATTTAACACACGGTAGTGGTTTAATGGTTTAGTAATTATTACGGCAGAAAAGAATTTAAATTTAACATTCTCTAAAATGGATACGTTATACATACGAGTTAAAAAAAACTTATACGTAAACAAACCAAACGAATGATGTAAGTTAAAATATATACTTATTGTATTTGACTAATTATAATTAGTAACGATGAATACATTTTTCAACTTGCTCATAGTAAAATTAATTTTTATCATTTTTTTTTTTTTTATGTCCTAATGAAATACTATTTTTATAAATATTAAATAGTTAATAAAGATAGAGTTTAAAAAAAAAAATGTATTTTTTAATGATTTTAAATTTACACTAAGCTTATTGCTGGGTAGTTTAATTTCAACATCACATTAAAGAGGCTTATAATAGTTATTGCATTATTAAATCGCGTTAAAGTTACCATCCGATTATATTGTTACCTAATCAATTTAATCACCAACACTCATTACAATGTCCGGTTGACCAATTCTTAGCGTTAATTCCATTCATGATGGTTATCAGATTTCGTATTGTTTTGGCGAAATAATAAGTACAACTTATGTATAACTTATAG